CACACACACACACACACACACACACTGCGCCAATGACTACGGTTTTCTCTTCACACAGACTTCCAGCCTGCACACCTGCCCCATCAGCATCCGGATCATCTACAGGTGTGCCTTCCAGCTCTTGTTCCCAACCACACCAAACTAACTTTCAGTTCATGTATTACTCTCAACTCACATCCCACTTCTGTAAGCCAGAAGGACAAACAGGTTCTGCCATCAGCAAAGAAACAGAAGGCCAAGCATCACAAGCCAATGCCTGGAAGCCATTCCAAAGGTCCCAAACCCCCATCATGAAGGCACCTTTGTTCCCACAAATAAAGGGTGTCCCTGGAGTCAGTCATTGATCAAAGGCTGTCACTCAACCTTCCCTTCTTACTGTCCAGAGCAATGAAATATGCCAGACTTTCAAACTGTCACTTCCCCAACCTGCATCACTACAGGAGTTCAGATGGACCTGGGCTCAGAGAGTTGAAATGTGCCAGATGATGTGAACTCTGCAGGTTCACACCTACCAAACAGAGGCAGGCATCACAGGCAACAGGAGGAGGAAAGGTCAACAGCCCAGGACACAGCAGGAGGGCAGGTGTTGCAGGCATCAGGACAGGCACAGACAAGGAAAAGGGGCAGCTCAGAAGCAACTGCCAGCTACAGCACTGCCAGTTACAGCACATCAACAAGGCATGCAGGCCACCTGCTCCCCAACCTGGACGCCTGCTGAGTCAGAGCAGGAGTCACCAGGACCCCTAACACTACATGTAGAAAGAGCCAGGGGTATACCAGAGGGACACCATGTGTGTCATGTCAGCTCAGATGACACTGAGACCAGGGATGGTGTAAGGAGCTCAGAAGACAACACAGGACAACGAAACCTCTGCTTGTCAAGTTCATCCATGAGCAATGAGCACTTGGACAGTGTCTGCAGTCCCTGGTCCCAGGATATTCATCCCACAGACATGTCTGTGAATTCTTCCCACAGACAGTCACCAGTTGTGGAGAGGAAATACAGCAGCCCTAAACAACCACTAATTTCCTCTCAACTTTTGCTAAGTGGTCAGTTTTGCACAAGACAGCTCCTTGTTTTACAAATGCATTACACCAAACATGAGAGAAGCATCATTGTAACTACCCTGGCAGGAGGGAAGAACCCCTCCCTTTGCCCATCAGACTGTATGGGCCAATAATTCCCAAAGAATTGGAATTTCCCCCCAGGAAACTCATGCTGGGAGAAGGGGAAAGCTAAAGCCTGATACCAGTCCAAGTACAACTGTCTGCCAGGAAGAGTTTGTACAGTTCTGGCAACTAGTCAGACCACCTTGCAGGAGAGAAGAGACCAAAGATGATGGGTTGGACCAACCTTGACCAGGATTGCTCAACTATGTAAACCTCTGTTTAAACCTAACAGAGTATCAGTGCCCATGAAGATTTGGTGAGGGTGGGGGGCCGGGATGTACCCCGGACCTCTGTGAGAACACTAAGTTTTCTTTCTCTGTCTTCCTATGATTTGTCTCTTTAATTGACATGTTGAGGATAAGCAGCCAAGCCTAGCTCGTTAGGGCTGCTAGGGCCCAGGCTGTGACTAACTCTGGGGACAGACTCAGTGAGCATGTCTAGCCTCAACAAATGTACAGCTGCAGGCAAAGAAGTCATGTCTGGATGACCTTGGGGGCCTTTGCTGAGCCTAAGAGGTGACCTCACAGGCACAGTATCAGAATTACTCAGTGAATGGCAACCAGGAAAACAAAAACTTTTCTCAGGTAACCTGGCCAGTCACATGGTTAGTGTTCTCCAATTGACATCTGAAAGCATGTTCAGGACAACTCAACTTCCAAGGCCAATGCCAGAGGGTTCTCAGCCCATGCAGGGCCAGGAGCGCATGGAATATTGGATGTTTTCTGTACTAAGAAGTGACACTTTGGACTGCAGGGACAAACCCTCCTGTGCAGGTGTCATACAGGGAAGACTGCACCACATAACCCAGTGCCAGTAGCAGTGACAGCGGTGGTGCTGGGGCAGCTGCCACTTCCATTCTTCATGCATTCCCCCCAGACCTTCCCTGCCTTAAGTCAGACATCGGATAAAAACCTGAAGGAGCCCTATCTCAGACACCACGTGCTGCCAGGAAGGGTGGCAGATGAGAAGGGCTGGTGCACAGCCAAGGACCTGACCAGAAAATCCACATGGATCCCTGCATCAGCTCTAACACACAGGTGTAATCTTTACAGTTCAGCTGCCTGAACCTCCTGAAGAATCTGCTGAAACAGAAGGGTCTCTGGGTGACAGAGCAGTTGAAAAAGGGTCTGAGCACTTAGTACAGAGTTGACATGTGCATGGTCATCTTAAAGAAAAACACATATACAGGGAATGGGAGGATCAGGGACAAAGACAGAGACAGACAAGAGAAAGGCACTCCACCTAACACGTCACTATCACAGAGCTTGCATCTTCCTACCTCCTGGAAATGTCACAGCTGCCCTAACACAGTGATTCATTGAGTCATTCACTGCTTGGGAGTGAGGGTAGGGTCAGTTGACCTAATGCACAGCCAGGCACGTAAAAATGTAGCACATTCTGCTATGCTCAGTCCACAATAACTGGTAAAAACAAGAAACTGCTGTCAGATAGTGGATGCATTCCCTATGCTATAACTTTAGTCAGAGTATATTCCTACTTTTTTTTCAAGATTTCCAACCTAATTTCCTATCACACATGAGGGTTTCCCTGCATGTATATATGTACATCGGGTGTACGCAGTGCCTGAGAAGGCCAAAAGGTGTTGGATCCCCTGAAATTGGGGTTACAGGTGGTTGTAAACTGCCATGTGGGTCCTAGGATCCAAACTCGGGTCCTCTATGACAACAGTCAGTGCTCTTAACTACTGAGTCATCTCTCTAGCTACCAGAGGAGGTGACAGTTCCATGTGTTACTGCCTCTGAAGACTTTCTAGGGAGACAACACATGGAGGTAGAAGATAATGGCAATGATGACCTGACCCTGGGTAGCCTCAGCTAATGTGTGCGTGTTTGGGTGTTAGATGCTAAAAGCTTAAGACATTTTTAAAAGTTAAGCATAATCTATGCTATTATAATCGGCTATACCACCTCAGTTTGTGTAAATACCACCTAGCAATGTATCTCTCATAACTTCAGTAACGCATGCTTTATATTTGTGTATATGTATACTTACACAATCAAGTACACATAAAAATCACACATATAGCCAGGTGTTGGTGGCACACGCCTTTAATCCCAGGACTCGGGAGGCAGAGGCAGGCAGGTCTCTGTGAGTTCGAGACCAGCCTGGTCTACAAGAGCTAGTTCCAGGACAGCCTCCAAAGCCACAGAGAAACCCTGTTTCGAAAAACCAAAGGAAAAAAAACAAAAACACATATAACAGACACAAATTAGTATACATATACAAGTTACACAAATACACACAAGCAAATTCATAGGCATAGCAATCAGTAATCATACACATAGGGAAAGTATAAACAACAAATACATACAAAATTTACAAACATAATACATATATAGTCATATGAATACAACAAATACATATATAATACATATATTCATACAAACATAATAATCGCAGGTAACCATAATACATACATCTATGCACCCATACACTTGTAACAAATACATGCATAACACATACATAGATGTGTCTCAAGACCCTGACTATGCAGTTCACTGAGAAGTGAAGGGGAGGGGGTGGCAGTGCCCCTTAGGCAGCCATGAAACCAGCATGGGCAGCCTGGGTTTGGGCCTATGGTACTCCGCCCTCAGTGCTCTGACATGGTCTTAATAGTTGGCAGAAATCCCTCTGATGACATCAGTCGCATAGCTCACACTCCCAAAGGAAGGAGACCTTAGAGGGCATTCAAAGGGATGCAATCACAACAGCCTTCTTGTGAACAAGGCATCTCTGATGGACCACCCGATATCCCTTTGCTTTCGTTTGGCTGCCAGCTAGGTCACAGAACACTACCACCATCCTCACAGGAAACAGAAGGAAACTGAGGCTCAGTTGTGAAGCCAGGATCAGAGCCTGGCTTCTTCGGGAGAACAGGTTGCTGTGCCACCTCTCAGCTGAGCCCCCAGAGAGAGCTCTGCCACCCTATGAGACCCAGAGAACCAGCCACCTATCGAGAGAGCCCCGGGCTCCATCCACAAAGACATGAAGGCAGAAAAACAAGTAAAGGCCCCCAACTAAGTCATCGGGTACTACATATGGGAAAAATAGGGTGGCAGCATGGCCCCATCCAGTTGGGAAAAGTCAAGTAACATACAAAAGGCACCCTGGAAGAGGTGACAGGTTTGCTGCTTTCCCTCACAAGTGAGGCTATGATGGTGTGCACCCCACAAGCAGCTGCAGGTAACATCACAGCGGCCTCTGCAGGGCCACTCCTGACTGACAATAAGAAGGCTACCTAGTCCCTACCTCCCAGTTCACAGGCCTCCTGCCAGTTAAGAAGCCTCCTGCCAGTTAACTAGAAACAATGGGTGAGGACCCAGAAAACACAGAGGGCAGGTTGCCACAGCATTCAAAGCAGAGTCATTTAAGAAGCAAAGGGAAATTTTACATTCACCCGATGACAAAGAGAAAGTGTTACTATGTTTACTGTCAGTGAGATAAAAGCAACATGTGTCATAGGTAAACTTTCTGGCATTGTTGGGTCATTTACAAAGCCACCCTGGGACACTGGTACTGACACTAAAGCAAAGTCAGGGGGGCCAAGCCCCAGAGTTAAATGCTACTGATCCTAAAGGTTGCTGCTACAGAAGAGCACAAGGATTTTATATCTTGTTAGTTTGTTTCTGCCTGCCTCCTCCTCCCAAGTGCTGGGACTAAGGGTTCAACAGGATTTTCTATATTAATGAAAACAATTGATAGTGTGCTTCCATACTCTAGGTGACAAAAGTCCCCAGGAAGAGCAGAGCTTAAACAAAAAGACCACCTTACCTGACATAAGACATCCCAAAGGAAAGTAATGGTCTTACCTGGCCCAGGTGGACTTGCACAGAGCAGGGAATCGACACCTTGAAATGGAAAAGAAACATAAGCAAGGGGGTTCTCAGGAAATGGGCACAGTAGCCAAAGAGGGTTCCCCAAGGCTGAGGCTGAGGCTGAGGCTGAGGCTGTGTCATCTTGTCACAATAACTGGAATCAACAGAATCCACATTCTGCTAACTCTGAGAAGTTTGGGTCCTTTTTGAGAATTTCAGGGAATAAGTGGAGACACGCCCATCCAAAAGGGGAAAAAAATCTGCACATCATTCATAATAACAGAGGTTCACCTTGAATTTCAAGCAACTGGTGTACTCCCAGTGGAGTCCTTCCTCACTGGGGAGCACGAGAAGTGAGACCCAGAGAAGGTGGAGGGTTCTTTCTGAAGGGTGGTTTCAAGCTGTCCACAGTCTTTACATTCACATTCAGGGTCGTATTTTCTCTGTAAAAATTTTCACTAGAGACAGGGCTGCTGTCTCTAGAACTATCTATGCATATGAAACTGAAGACAGAGTCTAAATGTATTTACTCCTGTCAGCCCTGCTGTCACATGAGACAGGGGAGAGGACTTCCCTTTGACTCTTCCACAGGAAGTTCACTGAGCATCCAAGGAAAAGCTGTGAGGCCTCAGCTAAACCCCAAGCTCAGCAGAGCACCTTGTGTGCAAGGCAGGTGTGAAGGCACCAAGAGAAGTGCTAGCATAGAGACTGCTCTGTCCCTGAGTTAAAAGGCCCTGTGTGAGTCAAGACATTGGACTTGCTTCTTGTTTGGGAGGTGCTGAGGACCTTGTTGCTGTGACCTGCCACACTGCCCAGCTTTCTCCTCACTCTTCCACTACAAGACTCCTGGCTCAATCCAGTCCTTAAAAGAGTTTTCTGAAACTGTGGCAAAGAAAGAGTCACAAGGGGTCTGACCAGTCACTGCAGTTTATACTTTGGAGCAGTAGGCAGCAGTATGACCTTGGTCCCTGATGTGGACACTATTTATAGGCCTCTTGCTTATCTTGCTCAGTTAAGTTTCTCAAGAAATATGTGACACATGGCCACTCATCTGTCTGGGACACACCATTATTCCACCAGGGTGGTGACTCACATTCTTGGCAGAGACCAGGGTCCTCTGTCTTCTGCACTCACCCTTCCCTCTAACTACCCTCATCTCTTCTGTACCCATACAGCAACTGGCAGGCAGAAACATGTATTTTGAATTTGTGTGTCCTCAGCTCCCCATGTGCATATTAAATTTTGATGGGTAGATGGGAGAAGGAACCCATAAATAAATGTAAAGTGAAAACCGACTCATGGCTTTGGAAACACAGGGAGCTGGTAACAGGACTTTATATAGGACTGTGACTACACTGGACCAAGGGGAACCCATGGTTAATGAACACTGTGAGTCACTGCATTCCAGCAAGCCCTCACTGGGGGCACAGGCATCCTGGTGCTTGTGACATAGTCACACTGGTAAGGAATGGATGAGGTATCAGTCTCTGCCTTTAGGATGTCACCTGTATTCCATGACATGGAATAATATTCATCACTAAGCAGAAATAGCCTAAAAGGACATGAAAAGTCACAGAGACACACTGAATGTATACCACTAAGATGAAGCAGCCAACCTGAGATGCTACCTACAACACGATTCCAACTATGACATTCTAGAAAAAATGAATGATTATAGAAACAATAAAATGCAAGCATTTATCAGGGGCTGGGGAAGAGATGAGTAACAGGAAAAACAGACAATGCTAAGAGACGTTGAACTGTTGTACTGTTCTGACTGGCATTGTCACGGTGGGTACATATCACTAACAACAGTACAAACCCAATAAACTCCCTATGAACACTGCAGGCTTGTGGACTTTGGTTAACAATGTAGCAATATTGACTCATCAAGCATTCTGCATTATACAAATTTTAAAATACACCAAGCACATGATTAATTTTCTGTAAATTGAAAACTATCCTAAATACAAAGCTTATCAATATTTTCAAGTAATTGATCAAAAGCATGTATGGAAGGAGTTCCTATGCCATACAAGAACAAGTTTAATAAGAACAGCTAGGGGTTAGGCATGAGCACACATCTTTAATCCCAGAACTTGGGAGGAAAAGGCAAGTGAATATGTCAGTTTGAAGTCAGTCTGGTCTACATAGAGAATTTGGGCCAGGCAAGATTACACAGTGAGATCTTGTCTAAAACCAACACACACGCGCGCGCGCGCGCGCGCGCGCGCGCGCGCGCACACACACACACACACACACACACACACACACACACACACACACACACACACACACACACACACGGGAGGTCAGATGTTTTCTCTATTCTACATTCCCTATAAACAAGTGATTTGTTAAGTGCAGCCCCGGAGACTGAAAATAAGAGGAGAGGCTACTCAATCAAGTCCTGGCCAGACCATCTACAATGAAGGAAACTCATCAAGATGTGTTCTTCCAATGTAGCTGTGACCAGCTATCAGGACAGGAGATACTTGGGTGTAACTGGTATTTCCAGTTTACTCCCCCTTGTTTATAATAAGGAGGGCAATTGCCCACAGTCAGAGCCATGAACGGAGGCTGCCTCTCTTAGGATGCCAGTGTTCCTGGTTTGTGCCACTCTGTTTGGCACTAAGAAACTCTCAGCAGCACTGTGATTGGGCTCCTTGGCTGCTTTTGTGGGCTCGTAGGTCCCACCTTCCATCCGACCTGTCTAGAAAAGCAAGACACAGCTTCTCCACACTGGATCTCACAAAGCTCTGGGACTCATCATTAATACTGCTCTTGCCCCTGTAACCTGCAGAACCACCTGCCCACCCCAACTTCACCTCCTGAGGATGAAGAGCCAGGAGACATAGCAAGAGCTGCCAACGGTCCAGATCAGAATGGCAGGCACCTCATATTATTTGCTTATTCCTCATCTTCAGTTGCAGCAGCTCTGATCAAACACTCTGGTCCTTTAGCCCTTTTCACATGACTGAGGGAAATACTCTGTGCCTGGGATATCTCCGGACTGTTCTCAGGATATCATTCAAGGCCAAATTGCACTGAATACTGAGTAGCAAACACCAGTGCAGTGGACCCAGACAAGGGCCTAGTGCCAACCCATCCTTAGGCCTGGTCCTACAGGTGTTTCTACCCAAGAATCTCTGAGCTGAGTTACAGCATTCAGTGTATGGATCCATGGTAGGCACCTATCATCCAGAGCAGAGCTTTTAATTATGCACAAGTTGTGAGCAAGTTGCAGAAGAGTGGAGACTAAAGGACTGCAGACTGCGTTCCAAGCATCAGGACACACCCTCAGGGGGCTGTGCATGTGCAGGCTCAAATCAGCTCCATAAACCTGTCCTGTTAGACACGCCTATCTGTAGCTCTTTGTCCTGAACCCTACCAACACAGAAAGCCAGTGTAGTCTGTCCTGTGCATGAGGACTGGTCCTCAGAGAGACAAAAGACACACTGGGGTCCCAGCAGCCACCCACTCCTTCTGATGAGAGCACCCATTGGAGTTAGGGTGACAAAAGGTGGCACTAAAGGGGCAGGTCTGGCAGCTACAGAAAATCCCAGGAGAGAGCTATAGACCCTGAGCTATGAGCAGTAGATCTTGGGACCCATGTCCTTCTCTTGACCTGACCCAGGGCCCCCCTGAGAGACCTGCCTAAAAGCCATTTTATAGCCTTTACTTGGCTGTGTCTGTGGCCTAATCTGTGGTTACCAAGGACAACCACAAACAAACAAGGCTGTGCCCAACCCACACCTGGCTGTGTGGGTGCCTGGAGCCACTGTGTTGATAACCTTGTCTCCAAGCCAGTAGGTCATCAAGGCGGAAGCAGGAGGGGCCTACAACCTTCCACTCATCATGACTGCTCTGGAGTGGGTGGTTGAATGTATCAAGGGCAGTGTGCATATTTAAAATTCAGGGACTGGGAGGAAGTTGAAGGGGTGGGCTCTGTGGTCAAAGTTTGCCTAGAATGTGTGATCCCTACAAATTGATCATTTTTTTGAGACACGTGTGAATTGGTATGACAGTCTGTGTATGACTAGAAGTCTGAGAGTCCTGTGAGTGAGCTCTAATGTGAGGGAGTAGCTGAGTGTGTATATGTGTACATGTGTGTGTACATGCATGCCTTATGTGAGTATGTGAGTATGTCTATGTGTCAATGTCTACATGTCTGTCTGTGAGATTCCCATGTGTCTAAGTCTATTCGTGTGCCCACAGAGTCATGTAGTCCTGAACCAAGGGCAAAAAGCAGAGCTTTGGTGAGCAAATGAGTCTGCCTTTAAAAGGAAAGCTTCAGCCACAGCCGGCTGCATCTACCCCTCACCATGGTACTGGGAGAGGACCAGGTCTACTGTGACTACCCATTCAGGACATCAAAGTCCCCTGAAAGAGAAAGGACAACCCAGTTCAACACACAGTTTGTAGACCCTGTCTTCCTTTTCATTCACACAATTAAGCCATGAATTCAAACGCCTGTTGTCAAGTTCAATTAAATTTCATTTTTGGCTAAGCCATGTCAAGAGTGATTATTTTCCTGTCAGTTTCTCTAAGAAATGCCTGGTTACTACATAAACAAAATAAAGGTAAGTTTCCATTCAACATTCTGGGAATCATCAAAAATTCCAATCCTGTTGGGTCCCATGAATGAGCTTTTTAGAACATCACAGAACTCTTATGGAAGGATGGAGAGATAGGACGATCCCATTTCCAGCATGTTTTTACTGATTCACCACTACAGCAGAAACTGGGGTGCTTGCTGGCCCCTTTTCTCGTTTCTCTGTTCTCCATTTATTCTGCCCATGGGACAGCTCTCTGAAGTTGGCATCAAGTATGCGCCCACAGAGATCTGGAAACATCACCCATCAGCACCCAAAGGCATTTGGCAAGTGCACACTGGGGCTGGGGTTTCAGAATGGCAGAGCCCAACATGTACCACGCCCTGAGTTTGAGCCCCAGCACCAAAACAAATGCATCAATAAATAAAATCAGATAATTTCTGATACATCCACCAACAACCTTTCAGGTAAGACAAA